TTTTCAAGATGCAAAACTTCTAGAACAAAGGGGTCTGGCAGACACAAGTTTAGGTGATCTTCTAAATGAAATCATATGAAATCGGTAATTATAGTGCGATGCACGTGTTGAAAGACCCAAGTGGGTGTACCTAAGCTGAAAGAACATATAGGCAAACATGTCCTCCCATTGTTTCAGGATGTCGGGGCGCTGGGATATAGTTCTAGCTGCGCAGGTTTGCAGAGCCTGCCGGACCAGTTTTGGGCTGTGGAACATGTGTTGTTCAGAATCTCACTGTTTTGCAGAGAGTTGCTTTAAAAAAATGCGCGTCGTAACTCCGGCGTAATTTCCCGTAACTCCGGCTTTTTTTTGGACTCAGTCCTCTGAAGGATTGAATTTTGAAAAGTTTTTCAAAGAAGAGTTTCGACAGGAACCATGAGTTCTGCTACTTTATTGGCGGGGCCGTCCTGAGGCAAGCTTTAAAACGCGTTTAAAACATAAGAATCATGCAGAGCAACCCACTTTCTTAAAAAACGAACTTTAGAGACACGGTTGCAGAGAAATAGGGGCTCCTTGCCACATACTCATTGGTTTCTTCTTGGAAGCCTCTGCTTGGGCACACGTTTGCGAAAATTTAGTGATGGTTCTGATCTGAGGCCATTCGGAAGATGGGCGAGGGCAATGGGAACGGGAAGGCTCCAGTGTTGGGTTGTGGAATGAGTGTGTTCCAGAAAAAACTACTCGTGGCACAAAGGCAGTTTGCTTGTGTATGATCCAACCTTTTATCATCTGTTTTTCAGAATCTTGGATCCGGATGTTTTTTCAGGTCTCCGGCGTATTTTTCGGAATCCGGCGGAATTTTTTGCCGGATTGAGGTCCGGCACTTTTTTCCGCCCAAAGGAGGATCCAGGTATGGGCGAAGGACTGGGCGGACCTTTTGGAGATCACACCTGGATTCATGCAGCTTCAGAGTCACCTCCATGGGCCATGGGGTCCTGGTCTTTCTGAGACCTACTATTGTATGTAATCGTATACATATATCGTATCATGATATATGATTCTTGAGGTCTTAAGTCCACCAAAATTGACTGAGTTGTTTTGAAGCAAAAACAGCCATGGATCGATGCTATCTAGAGAACTCTGAGCCACCGTGGTAGAGTGAAAACACCAAAACCGTATTCCCCAGATTCTCCCAGGGCTGCTTCAAAGTCTAAGTGACCCTGTGGCTAAATCCAAGAAGAACCGGGTTGTGGCCTTATTTGTCAGCCCTTCTTCTTGCCATCAAATTCTGAGAACAAAAACGCACACATCAAACATCATAAATAGCTTGTGTTGGTACTCGGGACCCAGTTGAAAATATTGACTGCCCCGTGGCTGTTCCATGATGCTCATCCACCGACACATGATCATTTTCCCGTGCTACGTAGATCATGATACACTTGGCTCATCCCATAATGCTCAGTGATTCAATCTGTTCGTCTGTCTGGTGATCACATTGCGTTGCTGTTTGGTTGTTCGTGATGGGATCTTTGAAAACCAACATAATTAACATGGACTGTCCAAGGGCCTCCAATAGACCACCCTACAATACTTGCCATTGGACACCCCTTGGATGCTCCTGGTTTTGTGGCACATCATGGCACGAACTCCTCCACCACTACCTGGTCAACTGGCGCAAACAGCATCACACAGCATCCCAGTCGGGTCCAGTCGGATCCAAATGGATATAATTGGATCTAACAAATTCTAACAATCCCATCAAAAACAAAAAAAGTTGAAGGACCCTAGTTCCACTGTACCATAGGTACCCCCCAATTTTCCTTGTCCTTTTTGTCAAATCACTTCAAAGTTTCACCTGGAAAAGACTGACCCAAGCTCAGGTTACCTTTCCGGGCTCCTCGGTGGCTCCTCTCGACTCTCTCGGCTCTCAACTGGCATCGCAGGCGCCTCGAAGATCTCCTGAGACCACTCGGCTCCGTCGTTGGAGACTTGGAGCTTCACATTGGAGCTACCTGAAGAGACGTCGTACGACGACGAGGGCCGCGCGTACGTACGGCCGCGCGTACGGCCACGCGAACAGAAGCGTCTCTCTCTCTCTCTCTCTCTCTCCGGGTCTTTGAGTAGCGATGCCCGTTGCTCCGTTCGTAGCGTCTCTTTTGCGGGTGGTTTCGGGTGGTTCTTGCGTCGGGATGGGATGGAGACTTGTGAAGACCGAGGGAGGAGAGGTGGTTTTGGTCTGTTCGGAGGAGAGAACTGGTGAATTGCTTGGTGAATTGGAAGTGCAAGTGTTTTCATGAAGTGCTTCCCAGAATGATCATGACAAAGACTTTGGGAGAATTCCAAGGTGACGAGCTGAGCTTCAGCGACATAAGGTGACTTTGGGGCAGCCTATGGTCTTATTGATGTGTTGGTCCACGGAAATCACAAAAGGCGGATTGGCTATATATGATTGGGTGCTTTTTGATGGAAACATATCAAAACTTTCACAAAACAGCTCCAGAGCTGAGAAATCTCGCAGAAAATGGGGGACATCGACCAACTCCTTGCCCCAGCCCGGGCCCAGCCCCCCACACTGCGGCACCGCCCCAGACTGCCTGGCAGCTCGAAGGGTGGCAGGCCACATCGCACCTGGCGCTAGCTCGGCTAGCCAGCTCGGCTAGCTAGCTCGGCTCTGTGCAAGTCTTTGTTGGGCAAACAGATTCACACAGACTTATACAAAACAGGGCGCAACAAAAAAAAGCAGTGCTGTGAATTCTTGTCACTGAGTTGGGCAAACACATAGAGCCTGAGTGACCTCTATTTTTGGAAGATCAACTATCCAAAATATGGTCTTTTCCTCTCAAAACAGAGGTCACTCAGGCTCCAGGCATATATACTAATTAATAATGATCTGATATGTTTGCCCTGAGTTCACTGCACCCTTCACCTCTGTTACAAGCACTTGTCGAGATCGACTGCACCATTTGACCAATGAAGTGTTCGCCATCGATGTGTCTCCGTCCGTCACGTCTCCGTCCGTCATCGACTCTTGAACTGGTACGACCATCTCATGTTTTAATGCACTTTATATAGATGGCAAAGTCTTATTAAATGGTGAGTGTCATGGTTCAAGGGATGACTCTTCGCCAGTATCTCCCCCAAAAAAAGACGACATGCACGTTCGGTATCCTGCTCTTCAGCCGTTGTTTGTTTGAAGTTTGAACTCGCGTTTCCGCTCGAAGGTGCCGTCGGCTCCGACCTGTGTGGAGCTGATGTACATGGCATACGGTGCAGCCACCACGTGCCCAAACTGAGCCGAGCACAGTCGGGTCACCACGGTCAGCACAGTCGTGCCGTGTGTCGAACTCGCGTGGGGGTGCTGGAGGGTCGGAGTTGGTTTCATGTGCTCACCGAGTGGTGAAATGGAAATGAACTGAAACACGCCCTTTGCTGAGTCATTTCGTGAGGCTCAAGGATCTTCGCTTGGCCTTTTTTGGAGAAGACAAAAACAAGTGAGTGACAAGGGACACAAATGCAATCAGCGAACCACACACAGGGCTTGGGCCGGTCTTGGGACAAGTTCATGGGACAAGTGCGTTTCAATACTCGTGAATTACTTTGATGTCTGTCTACTGCCAGAAGAAGTTGGTTGCTTTCAGCTACCTGAGAGTGATATGTCTCTGATTTGCAATGCCAAACTCGCTTCAGTGGGATGAACCTTTCCGCCAAGTGGCCGTGTCGATCAACTGACAGCGCAAACGGTTGGTGTTCACGAAGCCAAGTCCAACCACCAAGAGACTTGGATCCTGGAAAGTACACAATTGGCTCATGCAACTATATGCACTATAGGTATGCACTAGAAATGTCACGACATGCCAAGAGTCGTTGATTCAGTTACCTGTGTTTTGCTGGGAACGTTGTGCGAAGTGTTGGAACATGTTTTTTTTGTCGAAGGGGTGAACATCCCGATCAAAAAGGGCACAACCACAAGCACAGCTGTGCACAAGCTGCGCGATGCACCAGAAAAGGGTGATGGCGAAAGGTGTTCAACTCTCTTTCATCTACCTGGACCCTCCAAAGTACCTTAGAAAATGGGACATGAACCCAAAAAAACAAATACTTGTACCCATTGTCCGAGGTATGAACTGAGACTCCAGGTACATGTCTGTCCTAATCAAATCGTTCAAAACACCCACGAGGCGATGTTCGGACTTTTCCAGGGTTCAAAGAGAGTACCGTCTGTTCGTCCGCGCGCGGACGGCGGATGAACACAGACCTTGCTCGCCCATTTTCCAGCCAAGCACTTCGATATGTTCCATTGTTTTCCACGCTCCAAACAGCCCTTGGTCCCTGAAAACCGGGATTGGTTTGGGTCCAGACCCCCTCCATATGAGGGTACGGCCCCTACTTAGCAGAGTCCAGGGTCGCGTCTGGGTTGACCAATGTATTTGACCGACCGCTCTCGTCTGGGGAAGTCGGAAGCCATGCACGACGGAACCACCAAAAGAGACCATCCAGGAGGTCTTACTGCGGCACCCCCCCAACAAAAAAAATCAACTTTGAGCCGTGCCCTGAGACCTATGGTAGAACATAGTGTAGAACATGTATAACTTATAGTTCATGGGTCAAAAACCGGTTCTGGCACCAAATCTTCCTCCTTCGACGCAGCGAAGCTACCTCGCTCCCGCGCTCCACTCCGCGAACTCGCCACCGGCGCCCCGAACTGCGGTCCTCGTCGTTGTCGATGACCCGGCGACTTCGATCGATCCTCGGAAGGGACTTGGAACGGTCCAAAGGTGTTGCTGTTGATGCGAAAATGGAAACCGCTTTCACCTGCGGTTTCTCGTGTTTTAAACAGTTTTTAGGCTGGATCAACACATGTCCTGCTTATGGATTCTTGGGCATGGGATCTATGAGAGGAATCCGCTTTTTGGCATCAACCATACCGCCTAAGAACCGGGCACAACGTACTTCCCTTGTGGAACTGGAGTGTTCGTGTCACTTCTGCCTAAGTGACTCAAGGTGTGTCTTAGTCATGGCAGTGTCCTTGGCTTGCAACTGGGTATTCCCAACAAACAAAATAAAGTATGAACGCACAAAAAGGACACAATGGACACCTTTCCAAATACTGTGCACATGTTGAGGGTCAAACGTACCACCACACTATACCACACTTGCAGCCCAAGATGCCAGGGCACCATCCGCGGGTACACAGCCGTGATCTTTGGCGGAGACAGCAACATCGACGGAGAGACCTCCAATGGAAGGACGTGATCGAGGAGGAAGGTAAGGGGTTCCAAAGAGATGTTGGTTGATGAGTGATCTTAACCATTAAGTAGATTTATGCCCCTTCTTGTGCCTTGGCGGTAACATTTGTTCATCTTTTCAAGGGATTGTGGCTATAACATGAATATGTGTGATCTATCAAGGCGTTTTGTTTATAGAATGAAACACATGTTTTTCTAAAATGCTTTAATCCACACGTTTATTTTGCAGCCATAATGTGGGTACAGTAGCCGCATGTTTCGAATAAGTTTGTCCTTGATCCAAGAAGCCTGCTGGCTCCCTCCTTTGAAGACCTGTATTATTTTAAACAAAACGACCTGTCTCTTCTTGCAAAAACCTTGATTTACGCACTCCAGACTCCAAATACAGTAGATAGCACATGTTGTGTTTACAGAATGAATTGAGGGGACACTGATGTTACTTTATAAGCAAATACGTGTGGAGGATGTGGATTTGTTCAAGCTAACCTCAAGCCTTCCCAAAGCTCCACGCTGACTTGATGCGGTAAGTTTGGGTTCAAGTGGTCTACCGGTGAGTTTCAACTGCTTGATATGATCGGGATACACTCAAATAACCACCCACTTGGCACATCAAGGACTTGCCACGCCTAGATCAGAACTGAGCCATGACCCTCCAAACTGCCCAACAACAGCCCGACCTGCCCTGACCCCATCCGCGTGAGGTCTTTCACGCCTCCACGGTGGCCACACCACGGACCGACAGGCCCAAACTGGAAGCCGCATCCTGCGGCGGCTTTTTCGCCGCGGTCGACGGCCGGATGGCATGTGGACGGTACCGGGAACTGACGGGTGACTGACTGGCCGACGGGGGGCGGCTTATTCTTAAGTTCTTATTTATAGGGTATCAAGCGTGTACGTCGCGAGTTCATTGACATACTATGCCCTTGTGGATCCTAGAATGCTGTACGATGCTGTACGTTTTGATCAGTTGATTGAGACCGTGCGGCTCTTGGACTCTTGAGCTTGTGAAGCCTAATTTGAGGCGTGGTGTGGAGGCTAGAACCTCCACCAACGCTCCAAAACCAGCTCAAAGAAGCCATCAGGCCATCCTCAGGCCGTTGCCACAGAACAATAAGCTTCAGCACCGTTATTTTGGCACACATGCTTGGCTTCTTGACTCTTATTCTACCCTAGGGCTCCAAGGACCTCTTAGAAGGTGTTTGGGGTGGGTTTAGAGGGTGCAAAATACCTTCTAAGGAGGTACTTGGAGCGCTAGGGATAGGGACTTGCCAAAAGCAAATCCTTTCGGCATGTTTCGGCTTTCTTCGCATCGGACACGTCTCAAAACTCGAGTGTGTTCCCCAAGGACCGGGTCCTCATCAGGGTCAATGAAGTAGGTGCTGAACCTCGGCCGAAGTCGGTTGTACCGAGGTCCGCGGACGTACGAACGAGCCGACGAACGTACTGAGCCCACGGAAAGCACATCCGAAAACGGAGATCGATAAACACTCATTAGAACAAGGGCACCTGTATTGACAGCTATGGCTATGACCTGGTTTTCGTCGAGACTACCCATTAGAACAAAGACTCCCCAAAAACAATCCTAAACAACATTCCCACGATTGCAGTCGTTTGGTACTACAAATGGATCTTTCTCAAAAATAGTTCAGTGGGATAAACAGATCAACACGACTCCTTCAATCTGTACAGTGCAAATCAATCAAAGTCTGAAGTTTTCTTCCTGAAAGCACTGAGTCTTTGGTGATTGCGCTTTGGCAGTAGCCGACAGATGGGCTGGAGTCTATTGCAGACAGAAGTAGAGCACAGGACAAAACGACAGGATATCCTGCACAAAATCCAGCAGTGTAAGATGAAAACAAAGAAGTCCTTGACCAAATCCTGTCATTTATCCTGTCATCCATTTCTGAAAAAAATATATCGTCTCCTTCTGAGTCCCAAGAACTGTACATCTGATCTGCAAAACAATTAAACAAACAGCTTCCATCATGCTTCATCATTGCATTTTTTCTTTGTGAATGGGGCGCCTCTCCTGCCCGGATGAGCCTCAGTTGTAATAACATGATTCTGCTATTCCTGAACTTGAGGGCCTGATTGGTCGTTCATCCTCCACACAAACATATTGACACATCTGCTTGCTGAATTCGACCAGGCACCCAAGCTCACTGTGCCAATCTTAAACACTTCCTGGCCATCAAAGCCTGTATTTCAGCGCAAAACGTGCAGCTGCATAGAGGGCACACAAGCCTCCACCCAGCAATGGCCAAGTAAAGCCAATGGATCCCACCATGGAAGACATGGTGAGGGTCAATAGCACCGAGCCGAGCTCAGTCGAAGCTCTTAAGAACGATAAGGACTCGACGTGGAGTCTTGAAGGCACGCCATCGGTGAAGATCGTCGGCAAGGCCCCCCCCGACCAATCCCATGCCCAATGCTAAGGAGCCCACAGACAGTGACAAGATCAGCGGTTTCAGCAGTGAAGTCGTTGCATTCTGAAGCAACTGCGGCACGGCAGCCAGGAGCAAGGGTGCAAGTCCCACAAGCAGCATCCCTGGGATCAAGGCCGCTTTGCGCCCGAAGCGATCCGAAAGCTGGGCTACAGGCCCGGCGCAAAAGAAGCACATGAGGTTGGAGGCAGCCAGAACCAAAGAAAAAGCCCAAGCACCATAGCCAAAGACTTGAGCCAGCATCAATGGGACTATGCAGTAGAGGACACTTGCAAAAATGCCCCAATAGAAGGCTGAGAAAATCACAGCTTCACGGATGCGTGCATCCTGCAAAAGTTCTTTGTAACGCTTCAGCGCACTCTCTGTCTTCTTCGGGACATGGCCAATGTCGGTTGGCTTTGTTTCCTTCAGCATCCATTGATTTATCAAAGCCAGCATAGACCTGAGTATTTGCACAAATAGCCGAATAGCACACAATTCAAAACAGTGAGTTTAACAAACAAACAGCTGCAAAAGTAGCCGCTACCTGGAACGTTCCCCCCAAAGCCTTCGTGGAATCCAGGATCGGACTAGGCAAGAGTCTCGCAAGCTTGCGAATGGATATGATATGAATGTGCCGGATTGGCGCCACTTATTGTCCAAAAGTGAAGAAAACACCCAAACCCTTACACTCTGACTCACATCACATGGAAGTGGAGTTCACCCCTTGTTGAGGATTTCATCGTCTTCCAAATAAATCCATGCCATCCACCCTCACCACGTGTTCGTCAAAAGGTATTACTTTTGTGGGACATGACCAGCTGCTCTGTCCGCCCGACATCACCTCGGACCTCCGGACCCTCCACCGGTTAAGATCGGTCTCTGCAGAAGCGTCACGTGGCTGCAGCGACTTTCATCATCGCCTCGAAGATCGAAGACATGACCAAGGGGCTCTGGTGGGGAGGAGGATCATTTAGAAGCAAAATTACCAGTCAATACATGTCAAATTGACGTTTTCATCATACAATCATCATGACATATATTATGCATGGTTGTCTAAGCCTTTTCCAAAAAAGACACATCGGACCGAACCACCGAACCTCTCGAGCGGAACTTCGCGGGACCGGGGAGGGCAGCCCTCCAGTCCAGGACCGGATCTGGGCCGGAACAGTTTCGGTCACATTTGACGCATCGATCTCCCCCAAAAGCGCTCCTGGCCTACCTCCGTTTCGAAGATCGTTGGGGTGGCTGCCAGCTGTGAGGGGGTGACCCTCCACCGAACCTGAGGATATGGGCCCATAGTTTCGCGGGCATGGCCTGGAAAGAAGGACCATGTTCTGAAAGTCAAACAGGTGGTATTCTGCTTCCATGTTAGTGAGTCTCTCTTGTTGCGAACATCTGGAGCTATCTTGGGCTTGCTACTGCTACAGGACCCCAGCAGCCCAGATCCCTCTGCCACCACTTTGTCGTTGTTCGCAACTAGATAGAATGTTTGCTACCGTTTCAGTTCCTGGGTTAAGTTATCCCGGGCCACAAATAATTCCAATGGAGAATGGTTCCATTGTTGCTTATGCCCTGTATGTAGTGATGATGTCAAATGATTCTAAAACCTATAGAAGCTGTAGAGAAAGGTCCCTTGCTGGGGATCTGCAGGAGATCCTTGACAATCCTAATCTAATCAAAGTGGGCTTGATTTGAAGCCGACATCATCACTGGAAGCTGGCCATCGCCCATCCACAGTGATCCTCCCTAGTTCGAGAGTTACCATTCTCTACCGTGCCCGCCTGATGTACTCCGTAGGATTCAAGAAGCTTGCCGCCCACTAAAGGCCCAACCACACTGAAGAGCCTCACAACATGTCCATGCATTCTCACTTTAGTGGTTGGTTGGAGGCCATCACTTCTTGTATGTTGGACGCCATCACTTCTTGTATGTTGGAGGCCATCACTAGATTTATTAATTCTTAGTACCTGGAGTCTCAAAGTACCTCGGAAAATGGGTACAAGTACTTGTTTTTATGGGGTCATGTCCCATTTTCTAAGGTACTTTGGAGGGTCCAGGTACTGTCATTGTAGAGGTTGGATGGAACAAGAAGCACCTGTTAGCTTAGAGGAACCCATCCATGACTCTCCGTCTCTCGGCCCAGTCTCTCGGAGGAACCGAGGAACTTCTCAGCCATCAGGACCGGTGCCATGACCCGGCTCTTGTTCTCAGTACTGGAGATATCCTGGGCGCTTCGCCATGAAAAACAGCCGGGTGAAGAACTGGGAGGCGCCACGCCCACGGGCCAAGGCAGCTTAGACTTCAGTAGGCATGGGATGTGGCAATATGTGACTCTGGATCAGGTCTCCAAGAATCCTAAAGGGATCTTGAGGGTTTTGACCAGGAGCATGCTAGTGCGGCTATAGTTGACAGTTTTGCATGCAGCTGGGTCGAGTGATAGTCCGATAGCATCCTTCCAACATCTTCTAAATCCTTCTACCACAACCCTCCGACAGGTCACCAATTGAGAGCTGTTATGGCACTGTTAACCCTCAACAACCTACAAGTAGCAGTGAGGGTGCTGGTAGGTGCTTTCCAGCAGGGCTTTTACAAGTCGTTCTACCTTCAAAATAAAACTCTGAGGAACTCTGCGGCCGCCCATCACCGGAACAGTGACGCTTCTTAGCTTCCCAGCCGCAAGTGCCAGGCAAGTGCCTAAACGAGCTATTCCACGACAGGATGGGTCATTCGGAAACCACATCCATCCCCCGTGAACAAACTGGGGTCCTGGATGGTCAAGCCAGACGCTCCGTTCACAGCGGGCCTGGTCACGGCCTGGTTTCGACCCCAGAACCCACTCCACGAACTGGATGCACTGGCCACGTCGCCCGTGTTTTATGGCATGTTCGAGGTTGTTTGCTTTGGAGGACTTACTGTAGTCTCTGGATTCATGAACCCTCCATTTGAAGAGGATGTCCAATTCAAACGAGAGGTTTATTAATCAAGTCTACATTATATGGGGTGGTTCACTTTCATTTCACCAAAACTTCAGCTGAGCTTCAGTGAGATACAGCTGCATGGCAGAGTTTTGTGCCACGACGGCCAAGCCGATCAAGAATTTGCCGCCCATGAGCCCCCACACGCTGCTGTTGTGCGCCAAGGCCAGGATGGAGAGGGCCAGGAGCCAGAAAGACTGGACCAAGACCGGTTTTCGACCCCAAGATTTCAAGCAAACTGCCAAGGGCACGGCACACAGGATCTTTGCAAGACCTTCTGCAGCACAGGAGGCTCCCCAAAGTTCAGCCGATAAATCGAACTTCTCGGCAACCAGCAAAGGGATGATCCTGAGCTCTCATTAATGTCCAAGAAACCGTTGATCCTTGTTAAAAGAGGTGCATACCGGCAATATACCGGCAGACTTCTCAGAACGTTGACCCTCAGAGCAAGCAAAACACCAAACATTATTCCCAGCATCGGTTGCATGGCCGTGAAGGGAACAAAAAAAAGCTCTGCGACACAGTCGCAGCCACCACCCGCGGCAGCTCCAGGTGCTTCGCCGGCGCGGACGCCACCGTGGACGCGGCAGACGCCGCCCGCTTGGCCCGCCGTGCCGGGCGTGGGGGGCGGCGCGGCACCAGCGCGGCGATGCCCGTGGCACAGGCGGCGGGGGCGGCGTGGGCGGCAGACGGCTGAGGTGGATGGTCGTGACCCTTCGCAACTTGCAAGTGGGATCGGTCGGGCAAGGCGTCCAGCTGGCGGCGCAATGGGACCGTTTGCATGGCGACAGGGTCAAAGGTCTGGCTTTGAGCTGAAACAAGCACTGCATGAAAGCAGATCATGTCAGTCCCTTTCCTGGGAGTTACATGGAGAACTTCAGTTGATTGAACTATGCCACCGAGCCGATCATGAAAAAGGTGGTCACCCATGAAATCATTGAAACTCTCCAACTGGCTAACTATGACACAAGCTCAGATAAGCACTTGGTGAAGACTGAAGGTCACCCCCCCTTGTTGCCTCATCCCAAATACATGGAGTCGACCCGTTCCTACCTCAGAAAATGGATACAGTCGTACCAATATTCTCAGGTCGGGTCATGTCCAACGGTTCAACAGGTACATCTACCTGGACCCTCCAAAGTACCTTAGAAAATGGGACATGACCCCATAAAAACAAGTACTTGTACCCATTTTCCGAGGTACTTTGAGACTCCAGGTACACATCGCATCGGGTCCAGGTATACATCGACAGGTACCGCCCCAGTCGGCTGAGGGCATCCCACACGATGCCCGGCGGAAAGGTCACGGAGTAGTCGACCACAGGGGCACCGAGGAGGAGGCTCAACCTCGGCAGAAGAAGCAAAACAGCAGCAGCAACAACCAACGTCGTCGTCGTGATGTCTTTCTCCAGAAGTGTGCATGCAATTTGCAAGACCAGATGGGTGAATGATGGTGAATGTATGTGAATGTGTACTTTCAATCCGGGGAGACACCCTGGCCCGGGCTGGGTATAGATATCTGACTGGTCTATTTTCCTTCGTCCGGTGCTTGGAGGATCTCCCGGTCCGTGCCCCAGAGGTCGACACGCGCGCGCACCGCGCGCGGTGGTGTCGACCTCCCGAAACGGCGCGAAGAAGGACGGCGGACGGTGGACTGCGCGAGCGACGAAAAACTAACACCCTTTGATCGACTCACCGGACAGAAAATGATGCACCACCCACCATTGGTTGCAGGGCAGTCTGCGCCCCACCTTGAAACCAAGGGTTTCTCGAGTTTGAAAACTCCTCTCATCTCCTCTCATCCACCGCGAACTCGCTTCCGCTTCCGTGCAACGCGTGTTCGCTCTCCTCACAGCCCCTCCAGGCGGCTCAGTGAGGGGTATCTCCACCAAGCTTAATCCGCTGCCACTGGACGGCCTCAGGACGGTGACGTGGTGGGCGTCGCCTTAACGGGTCGATGCTCATGCGGGGCCGGTGGGCATGCCTCTTAAGGTCGAGAAGTGAAACACAAACAGCACCCGTCCTGGGTCGAATCATTTTAGATATGATTGTGATGCAAATTAGACTCACAACTGAAAAAAAGGAATAAACAACCAGATTTGGTCCATCACGGACCAACACATCAACATCGCTACTTAGGGGCCTTCGTTTTTCACGGAACACCACCGCCGCGCACCTGCTGTAGCTCATGGGTGTGACCCATAACTTCACCTGCGCCTGGCACGAGGGGAACCCCTGCATGGCCAGGTGAATGCATCCAACATCGTGGCGGGGAGGCAATTTGCATGCCCCTGGGACGTTTGAGATTAGTGATATGTGCGCACGACTGGCGAAGGGCTGTTTTTGGGTGCACCAGGCAACCCAGAACTGTGCACGACAGCACTTGCATGCTAAGAGAGATGATGATCTGAAGCTATCTGCACGAGGCGTGACCCATAGATTTGGGCAATGCCGCAGGACACTGTCCACGTCACATCAAACAGCACCTATCTATCAAATTACAATTGCGCAACATTTGCAGTTCCAGCCAAGTTCCATGAATCCTGAGTTGTTTGAAGAAGTTCCGTAATTCTTTTTTTTAACAACAACATATAAATATATATATGGTGTTGATTGGTGCATTTCAGTTCCAACATTCTCCCATTCCGATCCATGCACTTTTGCTGGATCACCGGATCTCCACTTGCTCCCCCTGGCCACGCACTTGCCGGGAAGTTTCGGCGTACCGGGCCCTGGAACTGCGTGTTCTGTGCCAGAAGCTTCACGGGAAAGACCGGCATCTGCGGCTCCTCGCGGGGTGCTGTGGAACCGGTTTGGATCGGTGCTGAACAGGCTGGCGTGCGTTCAGTACCTGTACCTTCCGGACGGGGGATGAACATGGAGATAGGGATCTGCACGTATAGTGTAGGTCTTCCATTTTGTGAGCCAGACAGGAAGGTGCTGGGAGATATCATGTTGTTTTGGTTGTTCGATTTCACCGCCACCATGAGACATTGTCGAACCCTGGTAGGTCTACTTTTGTGATTCCACGCCACGTGAAGTTGGCCAAGGAGGAGGGCTGTATTACTTTAAGATGCCTTTAAGGCTTTAAGGCAATGGACCCAAGAACTCAAACCCACAGCTCCTCCATGAACCAAAAGCACATCTGATCCCCCCAAAAAGCACACAAATGGGATGATATAAACTGGCTTTAAGTGTTTCAGTGAGATGATGGGAATTCCATGCAATTCGACCTCTCCCAGAACAATCCCACTAAAAGCCAACCAAAGCGAAGGCTTAGCGAAGCGCGCGCGACCGCGTTGGTGCAAACCCTTCTCCTCGCCCACCAATCCCACCTCAGGCTGGCGGTGACTTTAATAGGGAAGAAGCGAAAACAAAAAAAACGAGGATCACTCAAGCGGACATCGGACACAGTGATATGGGATCGGATGTTATATAGGTCTTTTACTTTTAAGCCCTGCTTTGTGTTCATTGGCTGCATTCACTTCTTTTTCCACGTTCTCGCTCATTCCATGTGCGCTTCGGGTTGGTTTCTGGACCTTCCAATTCTCTGGACCTTGAATTGCATGCTGGACATGAAGCCATGAAATGCCATGAAGTGTCCATGTCCAAGCTTCCATGCTCCTCACAACCTACGCTGGGTGACTTAGAGTTCTTGAGCTGCAGTTGGATGTCTCCAGGAAAGGAACTGTACATCTATATAAGTCTTATATTAATCTCATCAACATACTGCTTGTAGACAAGCTGCTGGCCACATTCAGCTCTGGGGTTCAAAACTGAACACCATCTGACAAATACATCAAAACACCCCAAGATCAACAGACTTGGTCGACCTTTAGAGCATATAGATGCTATGGATCGGGGGCAAACGGTCGACAGTGAATCACCTGCACTTCGTCATACTCCGTCGATCAAAAGCTGTGATATGCTGTGATGTCTGCTCTGGTTCCGAGACGCACATGGAACCTGAAAACCACTAGGTCCCTAGGTTGTAGAGGAAGTCTTCGTCTTCAGGTCCATGGTCATTCGGTGCCTCGCATGTGGGTTTCAAAACCTCCCGGGTGTATTTCGAAAGCAGAAACCCACGCGCCTTCACCTGTACGATGGTGGAATTGCTCTGTCCTGCGCGCAAACAAAGCGTCCTTCCACATGCAGAGAGAAGAACACCCTGAGAATGGTGATGTTTGGCAGGATCTCCGGACAAATCTTCTGAAATTGACCACTGATATATCAAGGAAGGAGTCTTTTCCATGGCTGTGCAGGGTGTTCCACCACTTAAGCGTTTTGCACCCAGACGTTACCACCACGAAACAAAATCGAAGAAAGGGACCGTACCATGACGAGCGCGCCGATGGCGACGTCGCGGTCTCATTCGGCACAGTCCGACCTCCAAAGGGCACAGTGAAGAGCTCCCGCTGGGGATAGAGGAGGAAAGAGGCCTCACAGCGACCCCAAAGCCGCTGTGGCCGCGAGCCGCTTTTTTTTGGCGAGCGGGGGGGGTTCTTCGTTTCTGGGGCCAGTCGGATGTCCGACTGCGAGTCGGAGGCCGGGAATAAGGGAAGTGTCGCTCCCAATAAAGATTCCTTTGGATCCAGCCACCCTCATTCCCTATCCTATACAAGTCGGAGGATCGGACCTTCGCTGGGGTCCTCCCGAAAGACACTCAATGCTTCACTCCACCGGGCGATGGCGGACGTGATCGAAACGAACAGCGTCACCTGGGATCTAGAAACGTTCAAAAAGAACGATCTAAACCCATCTTCTCAAATGGAGACCAGGAACCAGGATCTTTCAAATGGAGTTCATCGCCCAAAGATCCCACATGGTAGGTCTCATGGCATCCAGGACACTGAAAGGTCCGGGCACGACCTCGGGTCGCGACCCATCCCCGTCTCAAACCGTTCGGGCGCCCTTTCAGCATGCCCTTCACCCACGCCCTTCGCGTCCGCATCGTGGGGCCTCTGAGGGCATGGAGGTCCCGTGGATCCTCAGAGTGATCTTCACCTGGCGCCGGGCCAGCTTCACGAGGAGAACATGATCAGGAAACCCTAGGGATCTAGGAAAGTAACTTCTCAGATTCGGTACGACTGGACCCTCCTGGCACCTACATAACAGTGTCCTCCAATGACCTTCTCAAAGGGTATGTGGATCCGTAGGGAAATGGCTGTCGGCTGGGAACGTTTCTTGGAACTCCTGAAAATGGACGTACTCTGCAAGACTGATTTCATGAGTCTGCTCCAACCCACAAAAAAAAACATCAAAAAAGAGGCCCGAAGCAACCTACATTGCTGCAAGCACATCATAAGAAAGTCAGCCCGGTCCGATCTCAAGCAATCCTGCCCAATGTCAACCTACACCTACACCAAAACAAGACCGTGTTGCATTTTCTATGATCCTGAAGTTTTTTCTCTTGCAACATGGAAGCTTCCAAACGCACCAAACAACACAGAGCCAACGCAAATGTGCCATGTCAGCGTTTGGTACATCGTGTGCTCTCCCCTCCCGCCCCTCCCTCTATCTTTCTCTCTCCATATTCTATCTCTCTCTCTCCCTCTCTCTCCCTCCCTCTCTCCCTCTCTCTCTCTCTCTGTTTATCCCTTTCTTTCTTTATTTATGTTGTTCTTTCTTGATTGTGTTTTTGTTGTTATCACTTATGTTGTTTTTTTTATTCTGTTTGTTTTTATCGTTATTTACATTTATGTTGCTTTTTGTTTATGTTTTTATCTGTAGCTGTCTTGTTGTTTATGGTGTTTTTTACTATGTGTTTATGTATTTCTTTCTTGCTTTCTCTCTCGCTTTCTCTTTCTCTCTTTCATTCTGTCTTTCTTTCTGTATTGCCTTCTCTCTTTCTCTTTCTTTCTTTCCTGCTTTCGTTCTTTCTTGCTTTCTCTCTCTCTCTCTCTCTTTCCCTCTTTCATTCTTTGTCTCTCGCTCTCTCTTTCTCTCTCTCTCTCTCTTTCTTTCTTTCTTTCTACCTTTCTTTCTTTCTTTTCTTTCTTTCTTTTTTTTCTTTCTTGCTTTCTCTCTCTCTCTCTCTTTAGTTATTTCGCTCTCTCTCTCTCTCTCTTTATTTCTTTCTTTTAGTTTGTTTTTTCTTGGATTTTCCCTTCCACTTTTTTGTATTGCTATTTTTTGATTATATATTGTGTTCTATTTATTTGTTTTTTACAATTTCTTTACATTTGTTCTTTCGTTGTTTATTTATTTCTTTATGTATTTTTTTTAATTTTCTTGCCCTCTTTCTTTCATTCCTTCTGTCTGTCTTTCTTTCTTTCTCTCTCTCTCTCTCTCCCTCCCTCCCTCTCCTCTCTGTCGCCTCTCTCTCCAAAAGAATCACACCGTCGCCGTCCCTTCCTTTCAGCCCCAGCCCGACCCTCGCCTTCCGCCCACCGGGAAGTCCGGCAATGGCTGGTGGGAAGCATGCCACTCGTTGACTGTCCAGGATCTCAGCAACAGCCAGCGGTGGAAGTCGGATTCTTGAACGGATCCACCTAAGACAAATTCCAGGTTTGGAGCAATATTGGAACTAAAATAACTAAAACATAACGGGAAAAAGGCTTGTTTTAGGATAATTAGTTGATCCTCCAAAAGAGGGAATATAAATGTGTATAATAGATTTCTTTGTCTGTTCCTTGTGTTTTTCGTTTGTGAGGACTCGATGAGAATGTGAAGAAATTTGGACTCCAAACCGGGAGCCCAGGTCTTTTCGATGGCTGAAAATGATGGGAAAACATCTGCCAACTGTCTCGTGAAGGTCCCAAAAGTTGTTCATTCGGCACACCTATCTGGACATTCCATGATCATCCAAACTTCAAGTCCCACGACATTTTTCCACAACTGGAAGTCCTGCCAGTCCCAGGTCCCCTTGCCCATGGCGTCGATTCCGCTTCTCCATCAAAGCCATCCGGTTGGAAGATGCACCTGGCCGCGTGGAAAGGTGAGCATGCCGGCGTGAGCCGGCGGGACCGAAGGGCAACATGAAAAGGGTTCACTGAAGTTTCCACACTCGCAGTCAATCCTGGATTCCAATCCTAGCTCCAAAACACAAAGAAAGAGTTGAAAGATTGGTGAAAATATGGTTATGGTATGTTATGGTTGTGTTACACATGATCCCACATTGTGGTCCAGCTGGGTTTCACGGCAGCAATTCTTAAGTTCCTGCCGACCTCGCGCTCCACCACTCGCCCACGAATTTGCCTGGAACCTTCGGTCTCCCGCAAGAGGCTTCCCAAGGGTCCACCATACCTGCTGTGAGAGCGACCAGTGCGGCCAGTGCCACGCCGTGATGCCGTGATCCCGATCGCGGAGCAACCGGCGACGTTGGGTTTTGTAGGCCTGGCTATACATGCCATCTTCTCGCTACACACTGCTACGCTGTGTAACTTGTGACTTATGGGTGTCTTGACAGTCTAGGACCCGAACCGCCACAAGTTGGGCTGCAGTCAGCACCCGGAATTCGAGCTTTTTCTTTTTCCACCACTCAAAAGTCCACACATTCCAGCCACTCAAGTTCACCTGGAGCCGCTTGAGCCTCCCTCTCCATTTCAGGACCCGGACCCGTCCGGGCGTTTCTTTCTCTGACCCGCTGGGATCCCCAGCAGAACCAACGGCGTGTTGCTTCCCAAGGCCGTGGCATTCGGCGAGACGCGGCCGACGATGGACTTCTGAAGAACCTGCCGGTCGATTGGTCGACGAGAAGTTGACTGACTCTCGGGCAGGATTAACCCCAAAATGCATCTAAAGTCGCTTTAAGAAGGCGCTGAGTGAAATGACAGTCTTCTCAAACTGCATCCACGGAAAACTGGGAGACAGGTCAAACGAAACGAAACGTCGTTGTTCACTGTCAACCCCTCCTGAAACGATACGAAGTTCTGTGCCACGACGAACAAGGAGTCATAGTTCAGCAATCCAACCTACAGGGCGCCGCTGGATCTGGATCCGGTGAATCTGGTGAGCTGAACCCACCCTTTTCAGCAGTTACATCCTCATGATGTCAAAGTGCACATCTCTTGTCAGCAGTTAAACATCCTCATTGCGCTCATCATGATGTCTTTTGTGCACATCTTCGGAGGGTTGTAACGTCCTGCGGAGCTTGGCAAGATGCAAACATCAACAGAGCCACATGACGCATGGACGCCAAGACGAAGCACTTCGTGGACGCCAGAAGCACCGATGGTCGGCTCCGATGGTCGGTGCTTGAATTGGGCTGGACAATGGGGCGCGTGGGGAAAGCCAGGACGTCCTTGCATCCTGGTGGCAAACAGGAGCATTGAGAGTTCTGAAGAAGTCGTTGCCATGGGTTCAGCACCAAAGGATCTGGCTCAGGAACTTGGGGGCTCACGTAAAGCATGAAAAATGGCTCTCTGCTCCTCTGAACACCGCCATCCGCGTCTGTGACGGCGAATTCCGTGCAGATGTCAGCGTTGGTGCCGTGACCGGCTCTATGCGGTCAGCGTCACCGACTCGAGGGCAGCTAACTCTGGCTGGATGTAGCAGTCACCAGCGACATCCTCAAAGTCCTTTTCATCTAAGACCTCCTGCCATCATCGATCACTGGTACAAAATCGGAGGGACTGGGGAGAAGAAAATGGGTATATGGCACAACTATTAGGAGAACTACTACAACATCAGATTGAACTTATATGAGTCATCCAAATACTTTCATCTAACTGTTGCTTAGCAGGAATGAGCGCTCAACATCCTCCTAACTTGGATCCATTCCGAATTCATTCCCTCATTCCGTATACTTGTCGCACGTCAAGGCCAATTCAGGATTGCGATGTATACACCGTACCCCCCCGTACAAGCGTCTTTACAACTACCGTCTCGACCGTCTCCTCACACTGGAAGGCCACTTCTTGGAAGGGCAGCTTCTCCCAGCGGTAGGCCCGTCGAATGTGCACAAAGGACCAAAGAACGAAGAGCAAGCTAGGAGCCGCCACCACCCATGCATGGCTGGCTGACTTGGCCTGCAAAACACCCACCATGAAGATGCAGTAGAGGGCTAGGGCCAACTGAATGTAGCCTGACGGGCAAACAAAGGGCGGCAGTTGAAGTTGTCTTTGTTCTTCACCAAACCTGGTGGGGAGCGTGGATGTTTGTGAGAGGGGAGGCTGCCAGGTGGTTTCATGGTTTCATCTGAATGAGCAGGTTGGCCGGTTTGAGAGGTATGAAGGAAGGAGAAGCCACTGCAAGTGCTGATTTACTTGACAAGGTGATATCTGAGGTGAAGGAACAACAATGACAAACTAGAAAAGGAATTGTTTGGGGTTGCCTTTTTTTCAAAAAAGGAGGGCAAAGGAATATTACATTCGTACAGAAACTGATACTAAACGCACCTATAGCCTATAGCTATGAACGCTTATTGGCTTATTGCACCCTCTTGTAATGGACGCCAAGAATACGGTAGCAGAACCCCACAAGAGAAACTTCACATCGCGGGATCAGGACAGGCACCTACACAGCACACACAAAAAACCATTTTCCAGGCCTATCTGTGTTGCCCAGAAAACTCCACCCAAATCGGGCTTCTTGGTCTCCTTGGATTGGCGTGATTGGCGCACGAGGGCGAAGCATCCAAAACGACGTCTAACTGTTCTAACTGTTTTTTTTGGGGGCAAAGGCCGCTTCTGAGCCATTGTCCATGCGACAAGGCCGCATCCCGCTGAACCACGCACACCATTCAGGTGGGAACTTCCCGTCCGCCCTTCAGGCATGTGCCCCAAAGAAGCACCACAAACACACACACACACACTTAGTCACAGGGTTTGCAGTTATTCAGAATCCACAGTAAAATGGATGAGGGAACGGAAAGGCGCAAAATCAGTTCAACTGAAATGTTCACCATTGTTTGCGCGTGGCTGCAGAATATATAAGCGGCGGTGACTCAGCGGCAAATCTGCGGGAAGAGGGTTGGGGGAACAGCATGTGAACCACTATATGGAAACAAAGAACAGCGGAGGGAGGACCATTGGGTCGGTGTGTTAGTCAGCAGGTACGCCAGGCTGATCAGGTCTGGTATCACCACCAGTTGCAAGTGTCTTTGTTGGCAGGAGACTTGCAATGGTGCTCCTGCCCCCCTGCTTTGTCTAAAAGGAAGAAAGGAAAACGCGGAGAAACTCCTAGAAACGTAGGGGCACACACACACACACATCCAAATCGCTATGATTTTCACCAGGTCTCTGTATAAATCACCAAATAGCCATAGGTGATTCGTGCTAATGCCAGGTCAAACATCGCCATGATGGTCACCAAAGGGGAGATGCTACAGAAGACAATGCCCAAGACCACATTCACTGCAAGGTTCACATTCCGGGCTCCAAAGCCATAGCAATCCTGGACCCGCCGCTCGGCTCGCGCGGTTGGCGAACTCGCAGAACGCGACGTTGTTTGCCGGGACGTCACTGGTGTCGCCTTGTGAAAAAATCCTGAGATTGATATCTCTATAGATTTCTTTAGATACATCAGCATATATCATGGCTTAGCCAGGTGTTCTGAAGAAAAAGACCTCTGACCGGGGTCGCAAAAGCGCGATGTTGTGGCATCGTTCGGATGCTGCGGATGTTTCGGAATGCTGCGCGCATCTCGCTCCTGATCTTCTGGCTCCGACATCTCTTTGGCCTCCTCCGCGCTGAAAATGGTCTTGAAGAGCAAGAATTTGGACAGAGGCACATATCCTCAGCTGCTTTCCCCCGATCAACCTGTGGACCGAAGCGGACCGTGGACCGTGGACTTCGAACAGCCCCATTCATCGGACGACGGAGAAAAACGGGATTAGAAGACACTGCTCACGAGCTGTGTGCTGTTCAGAGGGATCACAGTTGCTTCATTGGATTCGTGGGGAGTTACAACGCCTGCAGCAACCGGACAATCCTTAGACAATTGACAAATCAATAGCAAACCTTTTTCTAAGACACATCAATAATCATCGTCTCTGTGTGTGGGTGTGTTTGAGTGGAACAACTGCTCTTCACCCTGAATTCTTGTCATCCTCCATCCAACTGTGTTGAGGGTCTCAGCATCTCCATAGCATGTCTGGCCCACTGCAGAACCAAGTAGGTCATGTAGAAGTGCGAGGCATTTGGAAGGCTCTCAGCCATCAACTGCGGAGCCGAGGAGGGATCGTTCCAAATGTCTTTGGCCCTATCCACAATGGATTTCCCCACGGTCGTCACCAGCACGACGAAGATCAGCTGGAACAGGAAGTACCAAAACTGCAACTTGTGCTGAGAATAGGCATCCGCCTGTGACAGCCGAAGCACAGTGTGGAAAAGCCCAGTTGGAGCGATAGTTTTGTTTTATGCCCAAATTAGAAGAAACATAAAGAAACTATTTGGGTGCCGCAGCAACTGTTTCTGGTACGGTCGCTGCTTCCAGGACGTCCGATTCCAATTTGTGTTTTGGCTTTTGTATGTGACCGTCACCTGATGTTAGATCACCATTTCATCATGCCAAAACCCTCCAGAAGCATTCTCCCAAAACCCAATCCTTCAGGGAGAAGAAGGTGCGGAAAATGATCATCAGCACCGTGGGCAGCAGGGACAAGAACAGCAGCAAGCCCAAGGTGGGGGCAAACCCTGGCAAGGCGCACCGTGGGCCATCGCGCGGTCGCAGAGTGCAAATATTAAAAGCACAAAATATTACAACACGATCGTGCCCTAAAGCCGTTTGACCTCGGCTTTGGGAACAGGCTGTATTTTGGGATGGTGGTCCAGAACAAGGCTCACTCCAATGTCCTATAAAACAAACTTCGGTTTCCACACTCTCTGTGGAACCACAATGTTCATGATTAGTGGAGCCTCCCCTGAAGAATGTCTGCACACTCTGTTAATCGCCCCTCTGTGATGGGTGCGCCCGCCATTGCTCGTCCTCGAACACCAGCACCCGATCCAAGGGGACGGCATTTCAACAGCTCTCGGGAACCAACTGTCACCGGGTGCCTTGCCAAATGGGCTGGAGTGGTCCGAGATGGACCAGCTTCGCGATGTTGGTGATGAAGATGACGATGGGCATAAAACCCACCTCAGTGACCCCACGATGGACAAAAAAAGTCCACGTTTTTCGGGGGGAAAGCACAGCACTGATCCAGTGACCCTGAGACGACCCACGAAGCACGGGCCGTACTGACCCTCTGACGTGCCCGCGACGTGAGAAGGACGAAAACCAAAAGCGCGTTCCCTCGGCGGCTCCGCATGCTTTTCTCAGAAGAAACTCGCAATAGCTTCGACCTCCGCGTCGACCTCCGCGTCTCTCGCTTCGTCTGACCGTTCGCTCCGTTCCAACGCATTTCGACGCATCGAGTCGCCCGGACTCCGCACCGGTGAAGTGATATCGAACCTGATCCTCGATGCATCACCAACCACCCCAAAATAGGGTCTTTTCCTATCAAAATAAAGGTCAAATGGGTTCTATATATAATAGTTTCACCATTGTTGGTTCTGCATGGTGTTTCAGGCATCCATTTGACTCCTTTTCAACGTGGTTCAACCAAGCCATTTCGACCTAAACCGCCGCCGCCCCGGTGGCCAGCACCAACACGGACCAGCGGTCTCGACCCAGGGACCCCTGTTGTGCTGGCCTTTGTCTATGCCTCATGCAACCTCTGCTTGGGTTTCAGTGAACAGTTGCCTGTTGCAGTGCCTCTTTGACAAATGTTGTGTTCCCTTTCTTCCTTTGGAAGTGCTGGTTTCTATCGCAGATTGTCCAGTCCGCTTGTGCTTTTTGTGTGGCTGTCCTGTTGCCATTCCCTTTTTATCATTGTTTATCCTAAATAAGCTATGTTTTGTATTGTTTTTGCATGGTTCTTTGTCTTGTTGTGTTTCTGCATGTTTCCTATGTCTTAGCTTCTTTAGACTTTGCTTCTTAGGCAGCTGACAAGTCTTTGGAGTGGAACAACAGAAGCAAGAGCCCCGTT